TTTTTTTGTAATCCATATTAAGAAAGCCTACTATAACTAGAACTTTCAAGACCCAACTCGTATTCTTCTGAAGCATAATGACTCTGAAAAGCAAACTGAAATTGAATATGTTATTCATTCTGCCAATACAGTCTGAATCAAAAATGGTGGCACACTACATTACATCAAATATCACTGATCCTGGATATCACGATGCCAGTCACGTGGTGTGAAAGAACCAGTATTTGTCTGGGCTGTGTATGCACGAGTTGATCGTTATGTTCAGATTAAAATTTCATTCCAAAATATTGTACTGCTTCAGAAGACACATTTGTGCCGCTACATTTGCAAAAATAGCAATTCATCCAAAAATGAAGAAATGTAAGTTACTTAAACAAACCTTTCATAAAATGATGGTTTACATCTCGCAAAACACTAAAAACTATCAATTAAATCAATGTGAATTCTACTTACTTCACTTTAGGCTCGTAGTATTGCAGCCATCTTGTTGCCTTTGACATCCCAGCACTCCACGCTGCCTTTGCTCTGAAAACATTGATTTCAAAAACATATGTAAGTATGAGTTTCGAATAAAAAAATGTGAGGAGCAAATATCAGTCTGAAATGGTAAATAACGTTAGCAAAACAGCCATCATAAATGCTCCTCGAGCCGTTTTGTTTACCGGGGCTTCGGCTGCATTAGAAAACTTAAAGGGGTCATATGATGCGATTTCAAGTTTTCCTTTCTCTTTGGAGTGTTACAAGCTGATTGTGCATAGATAAGATCCCTGAAGTTGCAAAGACTAAAGTCTCAAAACCAAAGAGATATTCTTTATCAAAGTTAAGACTCTGCCACTCCCCCCTAAAACGGCTCGTTCTAACACGCCCCCACATATCTACCTCACTATGTGGAAATATTTGCATAATGCCGCCCAAATGTGCACGCAAAGAAAGAAGGCGTGGTTTCAGTAACCGCAGTTAGTGTTGAAGCAGCATGTCAGGGAGATGCTGTGTGTTTCTAGGTGAAAGAAAAAGCACTTTATTTGGCCTTCTGAAAGTAGATGCATAGAGGACCTACAATAATGTACAGTATTTGAAAAATAATGTGTTTTTTGAACATTAAACCATGTCAACATATTCTGTTACACCAAATACACAAAATAATGATCTTTAAAAAAGCATCATATGACCCCTTTAAATAGCATCACATGGATATGCTAGATGAAACTGACGAAGCGGATCATAAATAACGATTAAGAAAAAGTTCAAAGTTATTGTAATATAGTGAATGGGCGGGTTTGTCTAACGTTACCTGTTGAATTAGTTTCTGTGGCGCGAGTGTCGGTTAGATCTGTCAGCTGTCTTTCTGGTTTAAAAGACAAAAAGACTTGGTTGTCTGTCTCCGACTGAGAAAAGCACACACACACACACACACAATATATATATATATATGTTTTTCCCCCCCACTGACAAACTGTGGTGTAAAACACTGTATATTTAACACTTAATAACTTAGATAACGTTATCAACCGTTGATAACTTTGATCTAATGTCGTGTTAATTCCTCTTTGCGAGCTAATACATTAGCGTTGCCGAGCTGGTTAATCTTCAAATAATAAGTTACGACAATAAATCCTAAACGTTCAAAAGTTTTTTTAAGGAATAAAGAAGCTTGAAATGCTTAAGTTACCTGTTGTTTTTCGTGACTCTTCTTTGAGTGAGCTCAGCTGTGATTGGACGGGCGGACGTCACGGGACTGACTAGATACCGGGCGCGGTTTGTGAATCTTTTTAGGACACACACTAAAAATATATATTTTGCCATAAGTAAAAGTTATTACATAAAAAAGGCTTTATATGAAAGACGTATGTACACTGAAAAAAATGATTTAAATGTTTTAAGGTATGTTGCAAACTATTTATTTTAGCTACATTTAAATAAAATTTATTTGAAAATTAGTCAACTAAATTTGTTTATTTAAATGTAGCTAAAATAAATTGATTGCAACCACTTTCCTTAAAACAATTTAATAAATTAAATTAATATTTTCCCCCAGTGAAATATAGTAAACATTAGTATATAAATATAAAAATAGTAAATATATTTACTATTGTTTGTGTATTTATTTGATTAGCTTTTAATTAGTTATAATAACCTATAGCCCTATACTCTATACAAACATATTTTCTCCAAAAACATTATTTAAAAGAAAAAAGTTGTTTCAAGTCTGTTCAACATGATGCAGTCGTGTTTGAACGGGAAACCGGATATAATGGTGTTAAATCAAAAGGAATTGTTTAAATAAAGTGAACAGCATACATTTTTTTTTATCAGTGAGCAGTGTTCTTTATCATTCCTGTAATAACACGACTCTTTAAAAGAGGATCAATTCTGTTGTACAGTTAAGTGATGGAGCATTCTGTGAAATTATGACCCTGGTGGCTTTCAAGTGTGAGGATGGGGCATCTTCTGCATCCACCACAAACAGATTGTTTTAGCTAAAGAGCTTGCGTGGAGGAACATTTTTTTAGAGATGTTCAGCTAAATATATCCTCAACATTTATATAGTGTCTCATAATGTATTTGCTGTCCATCCTCAGTCACTCAAGTGTAAATGTGTAATTTTAGGTCTAAAGACAAACTGTATGTCATTCAGCTTCCAAACAATATTGAAAGAGACTAAAAACTGATTCCTGGGGAACTACTTCTGCAGCTTTATACAAATATCAATGCCAATTGTTGTTTTCCAGCTTTATTTCTCCACACAATTTATAATGATATGTTATAATAATGCAATGATATAATATTAATGCAGAGTGAGTGAACTTCAGTTTTTGGCCATGCAATATAGACAGTGTTTACTTGACTGTGTACTTTATAATACATTCGTTTATTTATTTGTGTTATTACTTTCTGAAAACAATGTATGTCCAAGTAATGAAGTGAATTCCAAGCATGAAGAAGTAAACTTAAAATGTACTCAAAAATGTGACAAAATATACTACTACTTCAGGTTATTTAATAATGTACTTTGAAAGTATGCTTTCAATGCATTGTTACACTGATCATTTTCAGCACACAGTTAAAAAATATTCATAAAAGATATTTAAGTGCAAATAAATATACTTATAAAAAATAAACAGAACTTTCAGTTCAAGTATATTTTTGTAAAATATATATTTTTAGAAAATATACTAAATTACAATTGTTTTAAAGTGTGTTAAAAGTTGTATTGTGAAAATAGACAAAAGCATGCTGCTAATATACTTTTTGTATATTTAAAGATAGTAAATGTTTTGTTAGCATATTTGCAATGTACTATTAAAACAGGTAATATATTACAAATACAATAAAGTATACTTTTTTTTCACTAGGGTTGTCTTCTGACATCTTGGTCTCTTGCCTTATAATTTCTTCAATACCTATCGCAGACTTGGTTCAATCTAATAAAAATGTGGTACCAAAAAATATTTGACCGAATATATGTTTGTGCTACGAGTAATAGTTAATCACATTGTGTTGTTTTGAAATTGTTTGAAAATCTTTGTTTTGAAATATTCTTCGTAAATGATCACGCTCATAATCCAAACCCAACACCTGTAGAGTGATTAGTTATTTTTACACTGCTGGTCATGTGATTCCAGTTTGTGGTTAACCTGAGGACACACTTTTTTCCACCCATAGAAATGTCAGTTGTTGTATGTAATAGGTTAAATACATCAAGCATGTATACAACACAACAACTTAACAAATTAGCCTACAGCATGTTTCTCTTACTAGAAAGTTCTAAAAGTTATCTATAAAAAGCTTTTGCCATGAGTTCTACTGATTTATTATTGACCTTTCTCAGAAGAGGCTTCCGTCCTTCAAACCAGTTCCCCAAACAGACTAAATCTGTGATGTTCTGAAGTTATTGTTTATGTCTGTCGATTTGTATTGGTGGTGTCTTTTGTCTTTCATGTCCAAACAGCTTGTAATTATGATCATTTTAACATGACATGAACACATTATGGGCCAGATTTACTAACAGCTTGCGCCAGTGCAAATCCTTTTTTGATGGTAAAAAAATCAGTGAAATGGTAAGACATGCAGTGAAATATTAGTGATGAAAAGGTGTGGACAGTTATTTTTGTGGCTAAACTTATTGCATATGCATTTATAATAGTATTTATGAAGACATTATGTGAGGAGCATATTTAAATATCATGTAAGGTGATTTAATAAGGTTTGCGGTAGTCACTTTAATGGTATTTTTTATTTATTGCTCAAAAATGTGTCTTAACACAGTATGCGTCTGTGTTAGTAGATTACACGGATCTGATCATCATCGGCTGTTTGTTTTTGACCATACACAAATTTTTGTCGCTTGATAGATTGCGTTTGTCATTATGGAAATGCTCCGACTGCATTTGTGTTCTTTAATTTGTCAGTAGATCACCCACTGCAGAACTTTCCATTCCTATCTGCGCTTTTTTGAGATTTCGGTCTCATGCTAATTTGCCCTGTTTAGTAAATCTGGCCCTATGACTTTAAAGGAAGATTTAAAGGTGACATATCATGAAAATCTGACTTTTCCAGGTTTTAAGTGCTATAATCAGGTCCCCGGTGCATCTACCAACCAAGGAAACGTGAAAAAGATTAACCCAGTAACTTTTTTGCTGCTGCCACACAGATCTAAAATAAACATGTGATTTATTTCCCAGCAGTTTACCTTCACAGACATAACCGACTGTTTTTTTGTAACTCACGTGTGTTTTTAACGTAAACTTGTGTGTGAATGAGAACTTAGTTTAGTACTCTAAACATGCTGTGACAGCCGCTTTCTGTCCGTGTGCTTCAGATGTGTGCTCTCAGAAAACCATATATCAGAAGTTTAAACTAATATGGTTTAAAACACATGATTTCAGCACGATAAACATGCTAATCATAACCAAAACAGAAGTTTTTAGCAAGTAGGAGCTGTAATGGCGCAGCTCTATACTATTCTGGAAAAGGGGGCGGAGAGCAGCAGCTCATTTGCATTTAAAGAAACAGGCCCAAAAAACAGCGTGTTTCTGCTTCCACTCAAAATAGGCAATTTCAAAATGTTATAATAAATGATCTTTGGAGTATTTTGAGCTGAAACTTCACAGACACATTCTGGGGACATCAGAGACTTATATTACATATTGTAAAAAGGGGCATAATATGCCTCCTTTAATGTATGACATTATTACACTTTTTAAAAGTGTACTTAAGTGAATGTGTTTTTATTTCAGTAATATTATCAGCAAATACCGTTAATTAAGTATGCAACAAGTGCATATTACCATACAAGTACCCTTTTTTTTTTTTTTTACAAAGGAGTCTAAAGACAAACTGTATGTCATTCAGCTTCCAAACAATATTGAAAGAGACTAAAAACTGATTCCTGGGGAACTACTTCTGCAGCTTTATACAAATATCAATGCCAATTGTTGTTTTCCAGCTTTATTTCTCCACACAATTTATAATGATATGTTATAATAATGCAATGATATAATATTAATGCAGAGTGAGTGAACTTCAGTTTTTGGCCATGCAATATAGACAGTGTTTACTTGACTGTGTACTTTATAATACATTCGTTTATTTATTTGTGTTATTACTTTCTGAAAACAATGTATGTCCAAGTAATGAAGTGAATTCCAAGCATGAAGAAGTAAACTTAAAATGTACTCAAAAATGTGACAAAATATACTACTACTTCAGGTTATTTAATAATGTACTTTGAAAGTATGCTTTCAATGCATTGTTACACTGATCATTTTCAGCACACAGTTAAAAAATATTCATAAAAGATATTTAAGTGCAAATAAATATACTTATAAAAAATAAACAGAACTTTCAGTTCAAGTATATTTTTGTAAAATATATATTTTTAGAAAATATACTAAATTACAATTGTTTTAAAGTGTGTTAAAAGTTGTATTGTGAAAATAGACAAAAGCATGCTGCTAATATACTTTTTGTATATTTAAAGATAGTAAATGTTTTGTTAGCATATTTGCAATGTACTATTAAAACAGGTAATATATTACAAATACAATAAAGTATACTTTTTTTTCACTAGGGTTGTCTTCTGACATCTTGGTCTCTTGCCTTATAATTTCTTCAATACCTATCGCAGACTTGGTTCAATCTAATAAAAATGTGGTACCAAAAAATATTTGACCGAATATATGTTTGTGCTACGAGTAATAGTTAATCACATTGTGTTGTTTTGAAATTGTTTGAAAATCTTTGTTTTGAAATATTCTTCGTAAATGATCACGCTCATAATCCAAACCCAACACCTGTAGAGTGATTAGTTATTTTTACACTGCTGGTCATGTGATTCCAGTTTGTGGTTAACCTGAGGACACACTTTTTTCCACCCATAGAAATGTCAGTTGTTGTATG